CCTTTTTTAACAAAGCTTTCACCACAGCCTTTTATGTTAATTGTTTGCTAGAGCATTTCAAGCCTTTCTTTAGCTTCCCAGCTGAAAATTTTTTTTTCTATCCATTTTTTTATGGGGGATGTGGGTGTCGCTGGCTGGACAGCATTTTTTGCCCATCCCTAGTTGCCCTTGAGAAGGTGGTGGTGAGCTGCCTTCTTGAACCGCTGCATTCCTCCTGCTGTGGGTTGACCCACAATGCTATTAGGGAGGGAATTCCAGGATTTTGACCCAGTGACAGTGAAGGAACGGCGATATATTTCCAAGTTAGGATGGTGAGTGACTTGGAAAGGAACTTGGAGGTGGTGGTGTTCCCATATATCTGCTGCCCTTGTCCTTCTGGATGGAAGTGGTCGTGGGATTGGGAGGTGCTGTCTGAGGATCTTTGATGAATTTCTTCAGTACATCTTGTAGATAGTACAAACTGCTGCTACTGAGCGTCGGTGGTGGAGGGAGTGGATGCTTGTGGATGTAATGCTAATCAAGCGGGCTGCTTTGTCCTGGATGGTGTCCAAGTTTCTTTGGTGTTGTTGGGGCTGCACTCATCCAGGTAAGTGGGAAGTATTCCATCACACTTCTGACTTGTGCCTTGTAGATGATGGACAGGCTTTGAGGAGTCAGGAGGTGAGTTACTCGCCACAGTATTCTCAGCTTCTGGCCTGCTCTTGTAGCCACTCTGTTAAAGTGGTGAGTCCAGTTGAGTTTCTGGTCAATGGTAACCCCCAGGATGTTGATAGTGGGGATTCAGTAATGGTAACACCATTGAATGTCGAGTGGCGGTGGTTAGATTGTCTCTTATTGGTGATGGTCATCATATTGGTATTGTCCAGATCTTGTTGCATTTATACATAGACTGCTTCAGTGTCTGAGGAGTCATGAATGGTGCTGAACATTGTGCAATTATCCCCACTTCTGACCTTATGATGGAGGGAAGGTCATTGATGAAGCAGCCGAAGATGGTTGGGCCTAGGACACTACCCTGAGGAACTCCTGCAGAGATGTCCTGGAGCTGGGATGATTGACCTCCCACAACCACAACCATCTTCCTATGTGTCAGGTATGATTCCAACCAGTGGAGCATTTGCCCCCTGATACTCATTGATTCCAGTTTTGCCAGGGCTCCTTGATACCAGACTCGGTCAAATGCAGCCTTGATATCAAGAGCTGTCACTCTCACCTCACCTCTGGCATTGAGCTCTTTTGTCCATGTTTGAACCAAGGCTGTAATGAGGTCAGGAGCTGAGTGGCCCTGGCGGAACCCAAACTGGGCATCACTGAGCGGGTGCTGCTTGATAGCACTGTTAACGACACCTTCCATCACTTTACTGATGATCGAGAGGAGACTGATGGGGCAGTAATTGGCCGGGTTGGATTTGTCCTGCTTTTTATGTACAGGACATACTTAGGCAATTTCCACATTGTTGGTTAGATACCAGTGTTGTAACTGTACTGGAACAGCTTGGCTAAGGGAGCGGCAAGTTCTGGAGCACAAGTCTTCAGTACTGTTGCCGGAATGTTGTCAGGGCCGGTAGCCTTTGCAGTATCCAGTGTCTCCAACTGTTTCTTGATATCACAAGGAGTGAATCGAATTGGCTGAAGACTGGTATCTGGGGTCCACTGGAGGAGGCCGAGATGGATCATCCACTTGGCACTTCTGGCTGAAGATTGCTGCGAATACTTCAGCTTTATATTTTGCACTGGTGTGCTGGGCTCTTCCATCATTGAGGATGGGGATATTTGTGGAGCCTCCTCCTCCAGTGAGTTGTTTAATTGTCCACTACCATTCACGACTAGATGTGGCAGAGCTTAGATCTGATCCGTTGGTTGTGGGATCGCTTAGCTCTGTCTGTTACTGGCTACTTTCGCTGTTTGGCATGCAAGTAGTCCTGTTTGGTGGCTTCACCAGCTTGATACCTCATCTTCAGGTATGCCTGGTGCTGCTCCTGGCATGCCCTCCTGCACTCTCCATTGAACCAGGGTTGATCCCCTGGCTTGATGGTAATGGTTGAGTGGGGGATATGCCGGGCCATGAGGTTACAGGTTGTGCTGGAGTACAATTCTGTTGCTGTTGATAGCCCACAGTGCCTCATGGATGCCCAGTCTTGAGTCGTTAAATCTGTGCGAAATCTTACTCATTTAGCATGGTGATAGTGTCACACAACATGATGGAGGTTTTTCTCAATGTGAAGGTGGGACTTCGTCTCCACAAGGACTGTGCAGTGGTCACTGTTACCGATACTGTCATGGACAGATGCACCTGTAGCTGGCAGATTAGTAAGGATGAGGTCAAGTATGTTTTTCCCTCTTATTGGTTCCCTCACCACCTGCCGCAGACCCAGTCTAGCAGCTATGTCTTTTAGGATCCAACCAGCTCGATCAGTAGTACTGCTGCCGACCCACTCTTCTCCTTCACCCTTCCACAAAGAGACTTAATTCAAATTGGGTGTCCAATATCAACTACTGTATCCCAGGGTTATGATGCAGATTCTTCCCTTTACAGCTTTGGTAAGACTCCACTTGGTCTTCACCAGCTTTTTCAATTTTTTGTTGGTGTTTATAGCTGATTTGAGATTTTACAGGCAGGCTTAGTGTTGTGGTTTCTTTTTGCTGCTGTCTGCTGCTTTCACAGAAACTGACAGGTTCTGTGTGCTTTTTAAGCTGCAGAATATTCCAGCAGACCCGAAACGTCAGCTTTCCTGCTCCTCTGATGCTGCTTGGCCTGCTGTGTTCATCCAGCTCTACACCTTGTTATCTCAGACCCTCACACCTCTCTGTTTGGGAATTTCTCTTCTTGCTTCCTCTTAGATGGCTGTGATTTGAGTAAAGTTGAAGATTCCTTCAACCTGGCATGGTCTGGATAAATCTACACCACAGTTCACTGTATTTTCTACGACAGTGGTCCCATCACTGCCATCATCTATATTGTCAGGAACATCTACCTGAGCCGCCTGGATTTCTTGCATAGATTTGCTGCCACTGGTCTTTCCCACCAGTATTAGTCTAAGGTACTGATACCATGTGGGGAATGATGTCCACATGAAATCTTAGGCAGAAAATGGACTCTGTCTTAGTTAAACAACATATGTTTATTACATATTACTGAGTGGCTAGTTACATTATCTCTAAGATACATATTGGTCACTTGTGAGACAGATTCAACTGAAGAGAGTACATTCACATTGCTGGTACTATTAACCATTCCCACACAGCCTTGGTAATAAACACCAAAGCAGAGCTGATGTCTGGTTAGCTCCACCCTGGAGCAGTCCTTTTAGATCCCGATGTGCTACCTCCACTTGCTATCAGTTATCTTTTTCAGCTCCTAACTGCCTAATACAACAACCGAGGTAACACACCCCTAACTCGAGCAACATCGTTCAACTCGGCCTCTAATTCACTCCTTTCTAACTGTAGTGCACTCACACCTTTCTAATTTGTAGAGCTTAGCTTCATTCCCTGTTATCTGGATTTCAAAGCCTGGTTGGCCCTGTCCTATCCTGCACAAAATCCTACCCACCACTCTCTCCAGGGTTATCTCCTCCACAATGCATTGACTTTCTCCATGAATCAGCTTTTTGATTTAAATTCCTCATCCTCATCTACAAACCACATCACTGCATCTTGCATCTGCAAACACCGGCCAATTGCAGAGCTCTCCTGACCCCGATACTTCAGCTCTGCTCTTCCGACTCTCTGTTCCCCTCCCCGGGATATCTTGCTATGTTAAAGGTGCTCTACAAAAGCATCTTGATGTTGGCCTGCTGTCTGGTTTCCCCTACCACACATGCAGTACGTACCCTCTGACTGCCATTGGAAAGGCTTTGTTACCTCTCTCTACCTGCTCCATCACACCCCGAGTTGATCCGCTTCACCAACCTCCTCGATGTCCCCACCTGTCCGTCTTCTCATCCTACCCCCTTGGAGTCAGTTAGCTCAATTGGAAGGCTGGCTGATTTGCAATACGGCATGATGCCAACAGTATGAGTTCAATTCCTGCATTGGCTGAGGTCACCGTGAAGGACTGTCCTTAACTCACCCCTCACTGAGGTACGGTGACCACTACCAGTCGTCTCTCTCTAATGAGAGAGCAGCCCTATGGTCTGATAGCACTATGGTGACTTTACCTACCCCGTGCCTGCTCCCAATTACACAATTTCTCAGTGCAATTCTGCAAAACCCCCTCTCTCTCACAAATAAGAGCTGGCAAGGTTGTGCAGGTTAGGTGCACTGGCCATACTAAATTACTCATCGTGTCCAGGGATATGCAGGCTAGGTGGGTTAGCCATGGGAAATGTGGAGTTATGGACGTAGGGTAGGTGGAGTAGGTCTGGGTGGGATGCTCTTCGGAGGGTCAGTGAGAACTCAATAGGCCGAATGGCCTGCTTTCACACTGTAGGGATTCTAAATACACCCAGTTCAAGCCGTCACTCTCTTCAGAGTCAATCTTGGGACCTTGATGCCACTAAGGATCTGTCTCACCAACAGGACCAGCTCACCAGTTAATCACCACTACTTTTCTGTTCTTACACTTCCCTGTCGTTTTTTTTTACTGAGCATTCCTTTGTGATGCATTCAGACTGCAACTTGATTTTTAAGTGAACTAATTTTGCTCAATTAATTTGTATGTCTAACCTTTATGGCTTCAATTATGTGTGTGGCCCTTCCCTATAACCTGATCTCATGTTGCAGTCTCTGTATTGCCTGCTCCCATCCCTTTGTTGAATCAAACCCAAGCCTTGACATATCCCCTGTGGGTGATTAGTTTTTGATTCATCTCTTGGACTGGGATAGTTGGCAAGTTGTGATGCTGCAGTGGTTTGTTTTGGCTCTTATTTGAGAAACTATAACTGACCCACTGTTATGTTTCTTACCCAAGTGGGGAAATATCTTAGGGATGGTGTTATAGGCAGGGGAATCTAATAGCCAGCACTAAGAGGTAGAGATCTGGAATCCTTTCTCTTTGGATGTGTCGACTGGACATAAGGTTTCAATTACCTTTTTTTCCTGCAGTTCCTTGAATAAATCAGGGCAGGACTGCTCCTCTCCTTCCACTTGCCTCCGAAACCATGGAGCTGAGAGCAATTCCCCTCGTCCTCCTGATTCTGTGCCTCCTGCAGACGACCCGTGAGCAGGCACTCAAAAACAAACCAAGGAAGAACGTGACCCCAAAGAGAGGTAAGCTGGGTCCTTGTCCTTTAGAGGTAAGATGGGTTTTACTCCAGAGCCAGCTAGGGGTCAAAGCACCCAAGCCCTGGGTCTGTGCTTACCTCCACTGAGGAGGTAACAAGGAAAGCAATAAGCCCTAGCTGTTGGTCGTCAGGGCACAGGAGTTACAAAACTATGATGCCCACCAGAGTTGAATAGCTGCTAGCAGGCATTTCCACACAGCCAGTGAGGGATATGAGCTTCAGGAAGGGACTGGTTGAAGGGAGTGTTATAGGGCTGCAGACAGGAAGGGGAGCAGAAAATAAGTGTGGAGTGAATAGAACTGAAGATGCATGTCAAAGCACTGTGTGATAAAATTTCACATCTTCACCTCTTTGTTTATGAAATCAAGAAGTTTTTACCAGAATTTGTTGGCAGTGATTAGGCTTCCTGATGCTTAAAGGTCTCTAATCTCACTGGATGTTACAGGCAAACGTGTTTATTTGAGTTGCAAACTGTGTGGATATGTGGTTTGTGCCTTGTTGTGGTTATGCCACTATGAGCTACATTATTTCTTATAAATGGCCGTCATTTGTTCTCGATTAAGAAGTAATATAATCTCCATGAAATATAGCAGAAGAGAGGTTATGGCAGGGACCATTGATCACAGAGTTTACTTAAGGCAGGATAATTGAGGCAGTGATGATGTGGAATCTTATACTTCACCTTGGAAGAGCTTAGCATTGCTTCTGAAAAAATTCAAACCCCAATAGTGCAGTGCTCCCTCAATACTGCACAGGATTGATCGCTGAGATTGTGTGCACACATAGTGGAGTGGGACTTCAACTAGAATCTTCTGATTCAGAGGAGATTGTGAATCTTCCACTAAGGTGGAAGATAATGTTAGAGAGGGGCCATAATAATTCAGCAGAATGACTTCTCTGCTGTTCAGGATTCAACCCTGTTAGTCACTAGGTAACAAAGAGTTTTGTACAGACACTACACACAGGTGATTCCATGAGATACTCTGGCTGTAAGCACTAAGAGATAAAATACACTGCTGAAAAGAGGGACATACTTCTGAAGTTTCTTGTCTTGCACTCGTCAGGACACAGTGCAAGAATGCCGAATTTCTGATAAGCACAACAATTTACTCCAGAGGAGAGAAAGGTGCTGATTTGTTGGCACCTTGACTCTGATTAGCCAAGATATTGCCATGGAGAAAACATAGGGGAACTAAACACTTCCCAACCTCACATGTTTTTCAAAAAAGGCTACAATGCTCGAATATATTCCTTTTGGATCTGAATGTATGCAACTTTGAGCAGGTTTAAATGACTCTATAAATTCAACTTTTTGGAAATGCCCTGGAGCTTGCTGAACCTAGGTTCATTGTTCCTTTCTGCATAATATCTTACCCATTAAGAGTCAACTTGCCAACCAATCAGCACCCTTTTGTCATGTATCATAAGTTATGATCATTTGAAATGTGGGATTCTTGTGTTTGGTCCTGATGTGTGAGAGATGAAGAGCTTCAGCAGTGTATCCCTTTGAGCAGAAAACGTGCTACTCTTTAAAATCGTGCTGTGGGATCATGAGCACCCACCCACGAGAGAAAACATGTCCCAGGATTAGTGTCTCATCTGAAAGTCAGCAGCTTCAACTGTGCAGCACTCCCTCAGTACCACACTAGAGTGTTCGCCTTGCCTATTGTGCTGGATTTGTGTCAGTAAAAGCTTGGAGGGTCTCAGGACAATTAAAGTTCTCATTGGCTGTAGTGCTGCTATGAACAACGGAGTTTATTCATGGATGATTGACTAGATATCCAAGCCAAGGATGTCAGAGGTAAGGGCAGTTGCTTAGAGTGTAGTGATCTATTTCCACTGGTGCCCCTGCTGTGTGACTGGCTACAGCATAACTTCCCAAAGTGGGTCAAAAATTGTGATGCCTGCTAGAGCCAAATAGCTTCCAGCTTTTGGGACAAATTTGCGTCTCTTTGCGCTGGGAATGCAGGCTTCATTAAGGGACTGGGAGTGGATGTGGGGGTGAGGGGATGTGGTGTGATGATGGATGGCAGACATGCTGTAAAAATGAACCCCAATACAATGCATCATTCTGAAGATAGGACAGAGAGAGAAACAGGAAAGGCCGAGGTATGATCTGATGCTAGTTAAACATATTCACAGAGAATGGAATTATAACGAATAGTGTGTATGAAGCAGTGTTGAATCCTCCACCTGTGACTTAGCCCATTTTAAATAAATGAATAAAAATAACACTGAGTTATACCGATGAAAAATAGTCAGTTTCTTAGCCAACATAAATAAAAAATAAATTGGTGACAAAGTACTTTGGTTGCCAAAGCTTTAAGATGTGTGTTCTTCAGGCGAAGTGTAAGTTGGGTACTGTTTTCGATGCCAGGTCAGTAACTAATGTTCCAACGATTGACTGATTTAAATAGAATAACATACTCTTTTGGTTGAAGGAGTAAACTACTGCAGATGCTGGAATCTGAACTGAAAACAAAAAATGCTGGAGATCACAGCAGGTCAGAAATAGGCAGAGTACAGCCAAACGACTGTGCCTTAGGACAAAGTGTCTGCTATTAAATGGGATTTCACGATTGGGCACGACTTGCTGAACAATCCCAGGTGTGCTAATGGCTACATTAACAACCAATTTAGATAATCTGTTTAGCTCATCGAGTGGCTTAATTAAGCGTAGAAGAAGTAACATATGTCCCTGCGCAGCCTTGCATCCTTGAGAATTACCCGTGACGCATGAAAAATGTTGGCAAAATGTCTCTTTTGTCAGCGATATTCACCCCTCTACTACCAAAGTGGTATGAGTGGCAAACGTCTTTGATTCTCATTTCCCACTGGCATTTTTAGATTGATTTTCTGCATGCCTAGCATTTTGCAGCCTGACCACTCACTTCATGTCCTTCACCTTTGGACAGCGACGGTGACGCTAAGTATGATTGAAGACATCAAGAATCAGATTGCTCAGATCATTGAGGAGGTGAACCTATTGAAGGAGAAACAGGCACTGCAGACAGGTAAAGGAGACTGGGCTGGGGTGGTGCAGCGGATGAAGTGAAGGAACGGGAAAGTCTGCCTTACAATTGTGAGACTGTACCTGGTGTAACCTGTACAGTTTGGGTCTCCTTACTCAAGGAGAGATAATACTTGCACTGGAAAGAGTTCATCCTAGAATGGAGGGGTTTGTTTCACGAGGAAAGGTTGGACGGGTTGGGCTGATACTCATTTGGACAGGCGATGTTATTGAAACATAAGATTCTGAGGGGGCTTGACAGCTAGCTGCTCAAATAATGCTTCCTTTTGTGGGGGGGGTGGGGGGGCTGGTGTTGGGGCATTTAAAATTGGGGGTGCAGTTTCAAAATAAGGAGGCCACTATAGATGGCGGAAATGAGGAGGACTTTCTTCTCTCAGAGGATCATTAATCTTTGGAATGTTGTCTCTCAGTGAGCAGTGGAGACTGGGATCATTGAAGTTGTTCAAGGCTCAATTCCATTAATATTGATTGAGAGGGGAGTCAAGGCTTATGGGAGATAGACAGGGACATGGGGCTGAGACCACAACCTGATGAGCCAGGAACTTAGTGAAAGGCAAAGCAGACGTGATAGGGCCAAATAGCTAATGCCTGCCCCCCGTTCCTTGTTGATACGTAGAAAATAGTAGCAGCAATAGGCCCTTTGAGCCTGCCCTGTCATTCATTATAATCCTGGCTGATCATCCAACTCAATAGTCTGTTTGTGCTTATTGCTCCCCCCCACCCACCTTTTTTAAAATTCTTTTAACCCCCAAGTGCTGCATCCAACTCCTTCTTAAAAACATTCAATGTTTTGGCCTCCACTGCTTTTTCTGACAGAGAATTCCACAGGCTCCTCACTCGCTGGGTGAAAACATTTCTCCTCATCTCAGCCCTAAATGGTTTATCCCAAATCCTCAGACTGTGACCCCTGGTTCTGGACTTCCTGGTCATCAGAAACATGGGCTGAGGGAGTTCCCATCTTGGATTCTCACTTGGTCACAGATGATTTCCTTTGGTAACACAGGCAGTGTTACACAGGCTTCGAACTCCAGTGAGGAACCAAGACTTGGCTTCAGTCAGCCTAATGCCAAAGAGTAGAAGAACCTGGGATGCTTGAAGAATGTAAGAAACAGGAGCAGGTGTCTACTATCTGACCATCAGTCCTGTTCTGCCGATCAGTAAAATCATGGCTTCTCTCAATGTGGCCTTAACTCCACATTCCTGCCTGACCCTGATCATCTCCCTTGTCAATCAAAAATCTGTCTTAATTTGTCTTTGAATGTGTTCAATAACCCAGCCTCCATTGCTGTGTGGCTAAGAGATTTCCAAACACTAATGACCCTCACAGAGAATCCATCTCAGCTCTGTTTCAAATGGGAGAAGCCTTATTTTGAAACTGTGCCCCCAAGTTCCAGAAGGAGAGAGATCCTCTCAGTATCTACCCTGTCAAAGCGTGTCAGAATCTTATATGTTCAACACAAAATCTCTAAGTGACTGGTTGGGTGTATTTGATGTGGTCACCTTGTGGTCATGGATGTATAACGCTGGGACTCAAATATCATGGTGTGGCAAATAACGAAACTGAATGATAATTTTAATATCTTGTGAACTGGCACAGAAAAGCATTGAATGAAATGGCTGTTGTAAAAACTCAATCATGGAGGCGATGGCTGAGTGGTACGATCACTAGACTGTTAATCCAGAGACCCCGGTAATGTTCTGGGGACCCAGGTTCAAATCCTGCCATGGCAGATGGAGGAATTTGAATTCAATTTAAAAAAAAATCTGGCATTAAGAGAATCATGGTGGCCATATTGATTGTTGACCATGTTGAAACCCATCTGGTTCACTGAGGTCCTTTAGAGAAAGCAACTGGTCTAGATTGCTGTGGGACTGGAGTTACATGCAATGTGGTTGACCAATAACTGCCCTCTGGGCAATTAGGGATGGGCAATACATGCTGGCCTGACCAGAGACACCACTTGCTGTGAACGAATAGAAAAAATGAAGGGAGGCTACCTTCCCAGGCTGATGATGGAATTTGTATTCAATAAAAATCTGGAATTAAGATTCTATTGATGACCATTGCTGGTTGTCAGAAAGCCCCATCTGGTTTATTCATGCTGCTTAGGGAAGGAAACAGTCATCCTTACCTGGTTTGACCAAATGTGATGATGTTATTGACTTAATGATCTCAAGAACTGGCCACAGTGTAATATCTATATAATGGTTAACTGGTGTTGGGTGCATCCCAAGAACAAGCAAAACAAGCCTCCCTTCCAAAGTAAACTCGACAAAGCCCATGTTAGAAAGTGGGAGGAAGCGAGTCATTGCATTATCACTAACCCATCCCACACCCCGTGTTCTCTGTCCAGTGTGCCTGAGAGGGATCAAAGTTTACCGTAAGTGCTTCCTCCTCATGAGTGGACAAAAGAACTTCCACGAGGCGGCCGATGACTGCATCCTGCACGGGGGCACCCTCAGCACGCCGCACAACTACCACGAGAACAACGAGCTGCACGACTATGCCAGGAGGACCCTGGGGGACGAGCACAACATCTGGATTGGTGTCACCGACATAGTGACTGAGGGAGACTGGGTGGATGTGTCTGGGCAGGCCACCAACTACACCAACTGGGAGACAACTCGCCGCCAACCGGATGGTGGCACGAGGGCCAACTGTGTGGCAATGTCGGGCACGGCCATCGGCAAATGGTTTGATGAGTCCTGCGCGCTCCAGAAGAATTACTTCTGTCAATTTAACATTCCTTAAGCGTTGCGGGATTTCACCCCCACGTATGGCCTGACTGGTTTAGCCTTGCTACTGATGCTTTATGGGTTATTGTTTCAGTGATGATATCTTGAGAGTGATACAGATACAAAGTGATTCTCATTGACCCGGGTCGACTGTACTCCTCATTCCTTCATGATCTGTCCATTCTGTGTTCTCCAACAGGATTATGTCTGTTTTGGAGATGATACACCAAGGTAACCACCTTGATGCCAGGATGCCACCAATCCTGGACCCACATGACTACCACAGGCTGTACGGATAAAACCCTTCTCCCCTGCCCTTGTCCGCTGTACCGCACAGAGAAAGACATCAGGATCTGAGCAGAGTAGGGATGGCTGGAAGGGGCGGTTGTGTTGCTTGAAAACAACCCCCCACCAACACCCACAATGTCTCTCCGTGCCAGGGTGCTTTGACACTGAAGCACAGGTACAGCCCGATTGTACTGCCCCTTGTTGTGGTATATTTGCTAATTCAGCTGTGCAGGAATTCATAGCTTGCTTTGCTCTGTGGCTAGTCCAGGTTTCTTGCCGTGCCCATTGTAAACGCAGTAATGCATGCTACTGTTCCGACCAGAAATAAAATCCATTCATTCAAAAACAAAGGAAGTTGCTGTATTGTATTCCCATTCAACTGTGTGTGTGTGTGTGTGTGTGCGTGTGTGCGCGCGCGTGTGTGGGTGCGTGTGTGCGCGCGCGTGTGCGCGTGTGTGTGTGTGTGTGCGCGTGTGTGTGAGAGAGAGAGACAAAGTGTGTGTGTATATATGAATGCATGTGAAATAGACAGTGTGTGTGAATGCATGAGAGTGTGTGTGTGAATCCGAGTGAAAGACATTGTGTGTGTATATTTATGTGTGCGTGTATGAATGCATGAGTGTGTGTGTCTTTGTGTGTGTATATGTTTGTGTGTGTCTATGTGTGTGTGAGTGAGAGCGTGTATGTATGTATGCGCGTGTTGGTGTTTGTGTGGGTCTATGCGTGTGTGTGGGTGTGTGTGTGTGTCGATGTGTGTGTGAGTGAGAGCGTGTATGTATGTATGCGTGTTGGTGTTTGTGTGTTTCGATGCGTGTGTGAGTGAGAGCGTGTATGAATGTATGCGCGTGTTGGTGTTTGTGTGTGTCTATGTGTGTGGGTGAGAGCATGTACGTATGCGCGTGTTGCGGTGCGTGCGGGTGGGTGAGGGCGTGTACATATGTGCATGTTGCGGTGCATGAGGGTGGGTGAGGGCGTGTACGTATGCACGTGTTGCGGTGTGTGTCAGCGTGTACGTCGGTGAGGGCGTGTACGTTGGTGTGTGTGTGTGTGGGTGGGTGAGAGTCAGTCCTCCACTGAAGAATGCAGCTGTATTTCCTGCAGTTGGAGGTGTGTCATTTATTCCTCCCTCACCACCACTCCCATCCCTTGCACACTCCACACTCTCAACTTATCAATGGCTGTCGTCTGAGAAATAGGAGTAATGGCTGTGATTCGCAACTATTGAAATTCATTGTGGGGGCCTGAATGCTGTAAAGTGCTTACTCCAAATGGTGAGGTATTGTTCCTTGTTGAGCATCACTGTAATATTATCAAGATGACAACCTTCAATAAATTCTGATTGTAGCTGAAGCTGAGACACACACAAACACCAGCACACACATACATACATACACACTCTCACTCACACACGCATAGACATACACAAACACCAACACACGCATACATATATACACACTCCACACTCTCATACACAAAATCTGCATCTCCACCCTATGTACACACACACACACACACACACACACACACACACACACACACGCACACACACGCACACACACGCAAACACGGTCTCTGTAATCTAACTTGATTTCAGCAACTACACACATCACATAACGCACGTTCACTTTCAACCTCTCTGCTTTGAGAAGGGTCTCCTCAGCTTCAGCTACAATCAGAATTTATTGAAGGTTGTCATCTTGATATTATTACAGTGATGCTCAATAAGGAACAATACCTCACCATTTGGAGTAAGCACTTTACAGCATTCAGGCCCCCACAATGAATTTCAATAGTTGCGAATCACAGCCATTACTCCTATTTCTCAGACAACAGCCATTGATAAGTTGTTTCGCCATTGCCATTCACTCCTCCTCTAGCCATCTTCTATTTTCTCCCTTACTCTTCCTTCCTTGCATTTTCAATAAACGCTAACCTGGTCAGCAACACCCACAACCCTAGAATGAGAAAAATACGCTATTTTATTTACTTGTGGGATGTGGGCGTCGCTGGCTGGCCAGCATTTATTGCCCGTCCCTAGTTGCCCTTGAGAGGTGGGGGTGAGCTGCCTTCTTGAACTGCTGCATTTCTCCTGCTGTAGGTTGAGCCAAATGCCATTAGGGAGGGAATTCCAGGATTCTGACCCAGTGACACTGAAGGAACAGTGATATATTTCCAAGTCAGGATGGTGAGTGGCTTGGAGGGGGAGATGAAGGGGGTGGTGTTCCCATGTATCTGTTGCCCTTGTCATTCTCGATGGAACTGGTTGTGGGTTTGGGAAATTTCTGCAGTGCATCCTGTAGATAGTACACACTGCTGCTACTGAGCGTCAGTGGTGGAAGGAGCGGATGTTTGTAGCTGTGGTGACAATCAAGCGGGGGCTTCTTTGTCCTGGATGGTGTCAAGCTTCTTGAATGATGTTGGAGCTGCACCCAGGCAAGTGGGGAGATTCCATCATGCTCCTAACTTTGTCATATCATCTGTCCTTCTCCCACCCCGTTACAGACTTTGTCTTCTGTAGTCACACTCCTTCCCTTGCATTTTATCCCCAAACTCTGGTCTGATGAAAAATCACAAACTTAAAATGTTAACTGTCTCTCCTCCCTCCCTCTCTCCCCATAGATGTTGCCTGACTCCCTGTGTATTTTAGGCATTTTCTGTTCATATTTACTATCGATAAATATTTTGTCCTCTCTAAGTTCCAACAATTAGTACAATGGTGACGCAATATAAACAAAAGATTTAGAATTAAGAAGAAAGAAAGCAGGAATTGAAAAAAATTTGAAGAAAATAGGCCATTCAGCCCCTCTAGCCTGCTCAATAAAGTCATGGCTGATCTGAGCTTCTGCCTCTCCCCATAACCCTCCGATAGTTCAACTCTTTATCTCAGATCTAAATATACTCCATGGCCCAGTCTCCACTGTTGAGTGCTAGAAGAGAACTCATGAAACGAATGACCCTCTGAGAGAAGACATTCCTTCTCATCTCCATTTCAATTGGGTGAAGGCTCAGTCTGGAACTATAACCACCTGTTCCAGATTCCTGCGTTTACTCCCAGACCTGGTTGTGAAACAAGTAGACCCTCCCTGAAGCACTCTTTTTTTCTCCCCACCACCGCTCACCTCCCCTCCCCCCAACCTCTGTGCTGTCATCAAACTTGTGTCTGACAGGCTGGGCCTTGAACTCCAAAGAAGGTAGAGCTTGTAGACCCACATGTGGGGCTCGGCGAGGTTGGTTGGTATCAAAGAATTAGAGAATTTTTACAGCACAGAAAGAGGCCATTTAGCCCACTGTGTTCATACTCATCATACATCCATCTGTTCCAAGCCCATTTTCCAGCACTTGGCCCATAGCATTACATACTAATGCATTTCAAGTGCTCATCTAATTATTCCTTAAATGTCTTGAGGTTTCCTGCCTCTCCCACTATTTCAGGCAGTCAATTCTAGATACCCATAAGCCTCTGGATGAAAAATATATATCCCTCAAATCACCTCCTGCCCCTTTCTGTAAAATTGTGCCCCATGTTCATTGATCCCTCTACTAAGGGCAAAGGTTTCTCCCTATCTGTCTATACCCCTCAGAACTTTGTATACCTCAGTCAGGACCTTGCCCATCAGTCTTCTGTGGCCTGGAGATAACCCCAGCCTGTCCAGCCTCTCTTCATAGCTGAAATGCTCCTTCCCAGGCAGCATCCTGCTGAAACTCCTCTGCACCCCTTCCGGTGCAGTCACATCTTCCAATAGTGTGGAGACCAGAATTGCATGCAGCACTCCAGCTGTGGACTAACTAAAGTCTCATTCAGTTCCATTGTAACCTCCCTGCTCTTGTATTCAATGCCTCAACTAATAATGGCTCGTATCCCATATGCCTTCCTGATCCCACTTTATCTACATATCCTGCTGCCTTCAAGGATCTATGGACATGCACACTAAGATCCCTCTGATCCTCTGGACTTCCTAGGGTCCTAGCATTCAATGTGTACTCCCTTGCCTTGTTAGCCCTCCCTCATGGGAGGCTGGAGAAGGCAAACCACAAAGAATCTATTCATCTGATGGAAATTCAGGCCAGAACAGCTCAGAACTGGGTCAACTTTGACAAACTGAGCAGCAAAGACTCTCCAAAAGATGGCAGAACACCAAACAACTAAAGTCTCTCCTTCAACCTCTTCACCTCTTGACCTTGCTGTCCTCCTTCAAAACCTTCCATAAAAGCTGCCTCTTTGACCCAACATCTTGACCTCCTCTCAAAAGTATCTCGCTGTTTGATTCAGTTTTCACAACCCTGAGATGTCTTTCTCTGTTGAAGGCCCTTTGTTATTAAACACAGAAACGTAGAAAATAGGAGCAGGAGGAGGCCTTTCGGCCCTTTGAGCCTGCACCACCATTCAATATGATCATTGCTGATCATACAATCCCAGTATCCCATTTCTGCCCTCTCCCCATACCCCTTGATCCCTTTAGACACAAGGGCCACGTCCAGCACCCTCTTGGATATATCTATTGAGCTGGCCCCAACAGCTTCCTGTGGGAGAGCATTCCACAGATTCACAACTTTCTAAGTGAAGAAATTCTTCCTAATCTCAGTCCTGAATGGTTTATCCCTTATTCCTAGACTGTGAACCCTAGTTCTGGACTTTCCCAGTCCAGTCCCATCAGGAATTTATGTTTCTATGAGATTTCCCCCTTATTCTTCTAAGTTCCAGAGAATACAAGCCCAGTCGATCCAGCCTTTCCTCGAGATTGTAGGAACTGCAGATGCTGGAGAATCTGAGATACCAAGGTGTAGAGTTGGATGAACACAGCAGGCCAAGCAGCATCATAGGAGCAGGAAGGCTGACGTTTTGGAAGGGTCTAGGCCCGAAACGTCAGCCTTCCTGCTCCTCTGATGCTGCTTGGTCTGCTGTGTTCATCCAGCTCTACACCTTGGTATCCCAGCCTTTCCTTATTTGTCAGTCCTGCCATCCCGGGAATCAGTCTCAAAGAGGCAGCTTTTATGGAAGGTTTTGAAGGAGGACAGCAAGGTCAAGAGGTGAAGAGGTTGAAGGAGAGACTTTAATCCATCCAGTTGTTTGGTGTTCTGCTGGACTCCCTCAATAGCAAGAATGGCCTTCTTCAGAGTAGGAGACCAAAACTGCAAACAATACCTAAGGAGTGGCCTCTCCAAGGCCCCGTATATCTATAGGAACACAGCCCTATTCCTAAACTCAAATCCTTTCGCTATGAAGGAACAGGCTATTCAGCCTGACATGTCCATGGCATTGTTTCTACTCAACACTGTTTTTCACCGACTATTTGTCCAACCTCAATGATGTAACCTAAGAACGT